GCGGCGAAGCCATCTATGATGACCTGCGCGTTTCCCAGGGTCACTACCTTTGAGAGCAGTACCTTAACGATTGCGTTGGCTACTTGCATCACAACAACCCCCACGGTAGATTTGCCCACGCCAAATTGGTTCGCGACTGACCGGTAGCTGTCCGGCGTTGCAAGCTTCCAGAGGGCTATGGCCACTCGCTTCTGGACAGTCCGGGCTGCTCGCATCCGGGTGTCATTGCGCTTCAGGGCAGGGGACAGCAACTCACAAAGTTCCATGAAAGTCCCCTTCCACATGCGAAAGTTTCGCAGCCACTGGGATTCATCCCAGACCTGCAGCACTATGCGGTCCCACCAGTCCGTGCTTGTTTCCCGGGCCCAGAATCACCGTTCCACAACATCCACATGACCCATTGCCACCGTGATGTCCTCGGCGCTGGGTCTCGTGGTTTCTGACAGGTCTGTGCTACTCTCAGACTTCAGATCCTCACCCCGCTGCCGTAGCCTCCTCGCCTGATTTCTCTGTATCTGCCTCTGGGAAAGGTGGATGAGAAGCTGCGAGGTGTTGAGAACGGCCACAACTGCAGCGATGGTCGCAGCGGGCTCCATGCTCGCAGTGCTGTGGCGTCCGCACTGTCACTGACCAGAAAAGTGCGCGAACTGATTTCCCGCCGGCGCTTTCAGGGAAGGAGGGCGGTAGTGACGGACGGATGACGACAGTTACCCAAAAGCACCCTCGACACATTTTTTTTACCCAGAAGGCATTGGCGGCTCGACCCAGAATTCCAATGGGCAGCGGGGACTGCGGGAACTGTGGGATAGCTGCCCACAGTGCACCGCTTCCAATATCGACGCTTGCCTCGTTAGTGTGGACTCACAAAGTCGAATTACTGTCCTTAGTGTGGACACACACATTCGACTTTGCAATATCGATTCCACATATTCGATTTAAGTGAAATCGAACTACCCTCGTAGTGTAGACATACCCAGAGTTAGGAACACCAGAGTTATGAACTGACCTGTCAACCACACACCTCATTTGGAACTGGTAGTACACAATCAGGCAGCAGTGGAGAGAACAACAACAAAAGCAAATACAGTACAGTACTGTGTTAAAAGTAAACTACTAATCAAATAAAGGGAAAGCAGCATTTTTCTTCTGCATAGTAACGTCTCAAAACTGTATTAAGTCAATGTTCAGTTGTAAACTTTTGAAAGAACAACCGTAACATTTTGTTCAGAGTTACGAACAACCTCCATTTCTGAGGGATTCGTAACTCTGAGGTTCTACTGTAACAATAAATGGTGATGGGAAAAGGTGCAAAAGGGAGACAGACTGTGCTAGTCGAAACAAAAACGCTTACACTGATATAATCCAAGGACTGTGTTAAGAACATGCCTCGCAAACAAGAGAAGTGTGGAACTGGAAATCAATGGACCAAAACTGGTGTCAGAAATTATGCCTGACTGCTGGATAAAATAAGGGGATGGGCTATTTCACCCTTCATTCCGTTTTTAAAAGGAAAGACTTTGGGGGAAAAAGTGCCTGCAGGCTAACCACCACTGCTCACTGGGAGATGAGAGGACTGGAAGAAGCAAGCTTTACCATCAAGTCTGTCTCCTGGGACTCACTGTTACACCAGTGGTCCTTCATTGTCCTAATCCTGAGGGAGCTCATGATGAGACAGGGCCAGAGAGAGAGGGACCCAAAGGACATCATCACCTACACTAACTAAATCCTGAATATCACCTGGGATGTGAGGCTTTGTCACCCTCGCCCATATCCCTTGTTTCTTCTCTTTCCTATCCTCCTTCTTTTGCCATCTGTCTAATAAAAGTCTGGCTTAGCTGGCCAAGACCATATATTTGCAACACTGCTATAAGCCTGTGACCAAAGAGGCAGGTGAAAGCAATGCAGTAATCAGGATGATGCTGGTACAAGCTTGCCAGGTCACAAAGTGGCTAACTAGATATTTGCCATGCCTGTGTTTCTCTAGGAGTCAGATAGCAAGTGAGAGTTAACACCGGGGCCAGAAGCTGCATTTTCTGCCTTTCCTATTCTTTTCTCTCCTCATTTGTGTGTGTTTGTTTTGTTTTGTTTTTTAGAAAATGGGATCTGACTTTAACAACAGCAACAGCTCCAGCTCATCTCAACTAACTTTTTCTTGTTTCCCTAAAAGGACAGTTTTAACTAAAAGACTTTCAAACTGGGTTTTTTTCTTTTTCTTTTAATAACTTTACAGCTAAAGGGAAAGGGAATAAGGGATATTGTTAAAATAAAGTATTTATTTCATAGTTTACATAACTGTGTTCCTTCTTTTTTTATATCTTTAATAAAAGGTTTAAAAGATTTTATTGGTGTGTTTGTCATGGTACTAGGCAGGCTGAGGTCTCTGTATTCCAAACCCCCAAACTATGGGGAGGCATAGCTCAGTGGTTTGAGCATTGGCCTGCTAAACCCAGGGTTGTGAGTTCTATCCTTGAGGGGGCCATTTAGGGGTCTGGGGCAAAATCTGTACTTGGTCCTGCTAGTGAAGGCAGGGGCCTGGACTCAATGACCTTCCAGTTCTATAAGATAGGTATATCTCCTTAATTTTCTAGGAAGCAGTTCTGCAGAGAAGGACCTAGGGGTTACAGTGGACGAGAAGCTGGATATGAGTCAACAGTGTGCCCTTGTTGCCAAGAAGGCTAACGGCACTTTGGGCTGTATAAGTAGGGGCATTGCCAGCAGATCGAGGGACGTGATCATTCCCCTCTATTCGACATTGGTGAGGCTTCATCTGGAGTACTGTGTCCAGTTTTGGGCCCCACACTACAAGAAGGATGTAGAAAAATTGGAAAGAGTCCAGCGGAGGGCAACAAAAATGATTAGGGGGCTGGAACACATGACTTATGAGGAGAGGCTGAGGGAACGGGGATTGTTTAGTCTGCAGAAGAGAAGAATGAGGGTGGATTTGATAGCTGCTTTCAACTACCTGAAAGGGGGTTCCAAAGAGGATGGATCTAGACTGTTCTCAGTGGTCCCTGATGACAGAACAAGCAGTAATGGTCTCAAGTTGCAGTTGGGGAGGTTTAGGTTGGCTATTAGGAAAAACTTTTTCACTAGGAGGGTGGTGAAGCACTGGAATGGTTACCTAGGGAGGTGGTAGAATCTCCTTCCTTAGAGGTTTTCAAGGTCAGGCTTGACAAAGCCCTGGCTGGGATGATTTAGTTGGGAATTGGTCCTGCTTTGAGCAGGGGGTTGGACTAGATGACCTCCTGAGGTCCCTTCCAACCCTGATATTCTATGATTCTATGTTAACTGTTAATGTTGGGCAGTGACAGAGTCATATTAACACCCTTGACACTCTGGACCTCTTTATTCCCTCAAAAGTAATACAGTACCTTAACAGACAAAAATATTCAATGCTTCATATTTGCTCCCAAAACTTTTTTATTTATATTTTTGGAGCTCTAGCAAAATCCCTTCATTCATTCTGTGTTATCAGCGAGTGGAAAAAATATATTTTTCTGTTGTCTTAAAAAAACCCAAAAGCCTTTGACAACACTTTTTTAACAGGGCTTCAGCACAAATGGTTGACTTTTACAACTTGGAAAGCAGGCCATCGTTCTCATCGAGGACTAGTATCTTTGCTTTGTTTGAGTAAGCTTAATTTGGTTGAACAAATTTATGACTATTTTAAAACTTACTAGGCCACAAGCACTAGAACACTATGCTAAGGCTACAGATCTGAACTTAAACATAGGGAGATGCACTGCACATCTTTTGAGGATGCTCAGGATCTGTTATGTGGAGTTTTTAAAATCTTTCACCGGAAGCATCATTTACTGGTGCAATTTGAGGCAAGATACTAGATGTGATGGGCTGACATGACCAATATTCCTATTAAAATGCTATATTGAAAACGAGAAGGAGACTGAGAGGAGAGATGGGGAGGCAGTAGGAAGCAGACCCAGAATGAGAGGGGCACAATCCTGTTGACTTCAGCTGGAAGTTTGAGTGCTCAAGGACTGCAAAACAAGGGCCTTATTTTGAATCCTGTTTCTTGAGTAGCTACTTAAAATGAGCTAAAAGCTGCATTACGAGGGGATGGGTGGAAACTTCATTCAGATAAAACAAGATCATGAGACATCACAACTCAATATTGAGCTTAACGAATCTAAATTTAGATTCACCCAAAACTAATAAACATATAAATAGAAATTATTTGGAGATGAAATAACAGGGATGAAAAGCAAACCTACTACTTCACAGAACTTGAAGATTTCACAGGCTTTTTAAAAATTGGAATATCCAAGTTTAAGAAGCTTCATTTAACAACAAAACAAAACTCCCGAGTTAGTCTTTCCCTTGTTCAAAGATTAATCCTAAGAAACAAACCTATTGCTTTAACAGATGAGTTGGAATAGCAGCCATCAAGCTTCAGCATGTCAACTTCCCATTCTGCAAATGTTTTGGCATCTGTATCAATGGTGTCCAGTGTGGTCCCAGGGTAACCTTTGCAGGTGTAGTTACCCATGTCACTATAAATTCCAAATTTCAGCCCTTTTGAATGTATCTGGTAAAGCAAATGAAAGTGATTCTGATTAGTTTATGATTCCAGTGTATTTGTCTTCTAATACCCATTGATACTAAATCTCTCTTCTGTTTGTTAAACATCTTCATTACTTTTCTGAAGTTAGATTTCTCTTGGATGCTCTCTTGTGAGGTCTCTGCCTATTTTGGCAATGATGTTCTGAGAGCCTTTGCATACCAGAGTCCTAAAAAGCTGATTGTTGTGCAGTAATGGCTGCTTTGGATTCATGATGAAAAATATACTTAAAAGGTTGGAGTAATATGTTGCCTTTCATGCAAGGATCTCAAAACAGTTCAAAAGGATTAGGATGTAGGTAAGCATTGTTATACACATTTGGTAGAAACAAACCAGAACGGTTAAGTGACTTACCCTATGTCGCACAGTAAGTGGCACAAGTAGGAACAGAAACCAGGAATTGTGGCTCCCAGTTCTCTATGCTACCCATTAGATCCCTGCCTCTCTGCAAAATACGGCTTTCATTCCAAATACACACTACGGCTCCATCCTGCAAACACACACATGCTTATCAGTGACTTCAGTGGAACTACCCAAATGTGTAAACTGGTAAGCACACGTGAAACTCTGCAGGATTGGGGCCTTGCTGGGTTCCACTGTACACAACCACATTGTGTAACTGACCCACTGCACAGAATAATGCATCTTTGCTCATTTGTAAATATATCTACCTTCCTTTCAATTCTAACCCAGAGCATGTTAATAGATTCCTAAGGAATAACATTGATTAACCCTAAGTGTCCACTGATCATCATCCATATGTGCAGGCACAATGAAAATCCAATATGTATTTCCCTTAGAGATATGCATAGAATCATTCACATGTATTACAATTAAGCTGTTCCCTGTAATTTTTCCAGCTAAGTAGCTTGACATTTATTAGTTGTCATTTAAGTGAATTTTGCAGTAAGTTATATGTATCCTTTTCTAAAAACAGTTTCTTTAAATAACTACGTTCAAAAGAAAATTGCATTTTTAGCACCTACATCTGAGATACCACAGTGAGAAACTTACATAATCAGCAAGGGCTTTAATACCACTTGGAAACCTATCTGGGTCTGGCTGAAGCCTGCCCTGGGAATCCCTTTCCTTTGCAGACCAGCAGTCATCAAGGTTCACATATTCATAACCCAGCTCCTTCCATCCATCTTCTGCCATCTTGTCTGCCATACTTTTGATCAAGTACTCACTGGTAAAACACAGAAGATTGCATTAACAAAATTGTTGAAATGTTACCATTTTGCTTATTTGTGTGTGTTTGCAGGGACCTCAAAGGGTCAGGACCTCACCTTTACATCTCTTCAGAAAAATGGCAATTCCAACCGAACAATGCCACTTCATACCTTGCTGGCTAGCCACTGATTCAGAACAGAGTTACAGGGAAAATGCTCAGTTCTGGTTCACCTGCACTACTTCTTCCAGCTCCTGAACTTTTCTTTAAAGGTATCCCTTCCAGGTATTTAGTAACCTGTCCCTCCTTGGGGGAGGGATAGCTCAGTGGATTGAGCATTGGCTTCCTAAACCCAGGGTTATGAGTTCAATCCTTAAGGGGGCCATTTAGGAATCTGGGGCAAAAATCAGTCTGGGGATTGGTCCTGCTTTGAGCAGGGGGTTGGACTAGATGATCTCCTGAAGTCCCTTCCAACCTTGATATTCTATTCTTAGTCTATAACAGTGATCACCAACCTGTTGATTCTAGAGACTCTCCCAGTTGATCCCAATCTCTGTCAGTGTAGCAGGGCTGCTGCTAAGGCAGGCTCCCTGCCGGCCCTGGCCCCATGTCGCTTCTGGAAGTGGCCAGGGTGGCCCCGCGGCCCCATGTGGGGACAGGGGTCTCCACGCGCTACTCCTGCCTGGAAGCACCGCCCCTGCAGCTCCCATTGGCTGGGAATGGCCAATGGGAGCTGCGGCGGCGGTGCCTGCAGAGAGCAGCAGTGTGTGGAGCCATGTGCCCCCCACCCCCAAGGGCCACAGGGGGGCATTGGCCCCTTCCGGGAGCGGTGTGGGGCTGGGGCAGGCGGGCAGGGAGCTTGTCTTAGCCTCACTGCACCGCCACCCGGGATCTGCCCGAGGTAAGTGTCGCTTGGCAGGAGGCTGCACCCCAGCCCTGAGCCCCCTCCCAGAGCCAGCATCCCATATCCCCCCCTGTACCCCAACATTCTGCCCCAGCCCGAAGTACCCTGCTGCACCCAAACTCCCTCCCAGTGCTTGCACTCCTCACCCCCTCCCACACTGTGAACCCCTCAGCCCCATCCCAGAGCCCGCACCCCATCCCAACCCCCTGCCCCAGCCTGGTGAAAGTGAATGAGTGGGACAGCGAGCGACGGGGGTGGGAGGATGGAGCGAGCAGGGCTTCGGGGAAGGGGCGGGATAGATCCTGGCTTGCCCTTAAATTCAAAAAGTGATCTTGGGTGTAAAAAGGTTATAGACCACTGGTCTATAAGATCTGAAGAGGTCAGTCTAACGTGGTATGTTAAGGGGATAGAATAGGAATTGATCTTAGACTAGTGTAGTCTACACAATGTGTAGTTCAGAGTATTTGTATTGCTTTCAAGGTTCTGTAAAAGTCACACTTTTAGATGGATGCCTATCAATAGATGGGATTCTAAGAATAATTTTTAACATCTCAATAGCTGAAACATCTTTTGAAAGGATTATCCCCAGGATTATCTGGAGTGTTCAAAGAAACATTTTGGAAATCAAAAGTTGTATTTAATTTATATTATATGGTATAGTAATCTCATAGTACCCTGCCTTATAATAGTTGGATTTAGAAACCTTCCCATTTTAAAGATCAACCATTGTTTTAGTTACTTAACAGATAGAAAAAATGGGACTTGGCCAAAACATTTCCATCTTCAGCTAGGTTCTCTGTCAGGGTTATAGAAGTGACCAAAATATTTGTCTCCTTGGCTACTGCTGTGCAAGCATTACCAAGTTGATCATAAAACATTTCCTGTTCTGTGAATTATAGGAAAGTACTATGATCTTAACAATGTTAAAACACTTGAGTATTTGAAATACTTAGCCTTTTTAGTGTCGAGTCTAAAGTTCAGCTTGCTTTGCTTGTATTTATTAATACAAAACAATGAGGAATAGTCTCTCCCTCAGTTAATCTGAAGCAGGCTCTTAACAATAACATTTCTGAGATATAACAGTAGAGGGAGTTCTCTCAATATTTCCTAGCTGATTCTGTTCTGATTCTAGTTGTGTACATGAACATTATTTCCTTCCTGTTGTAGAAACAGCATTTCCAGCTTCCTTTTTTTAGACAAATTTAGGCCACCTCCCAAAATGGCAGCAGTGAAACACTATGGTTTTGTCTCAATACACCTCTACCTCGATATAGGTATCCTTGGAGCCAAAAAATCTTACCGCGTTATGACGAACTTGCTTTGATCCACCGGAGTGCGCAGCCCCGCCCCTTCGGAGCACTGCTTTACCGCGTTATATCCGAATTCGTGTTATATCGGGTTGCGTTATATCGGGGTAGATGTGTACCTTTCAAACTAGGAAACACAATTATCTAGCAAAAAAAATGAGGAGTCCTTGTGGCACCTTAGAGACTAACAAATTTATTTGGGCATAAGCTTTTGTGGGCTAGAACCCACTTCATCAGATTTATGAAGTAAAAAATACAGGAGCAGGTATAAATACATGAAAGGATGGGGGTGCTTTACCAAGTTTTAGGTCAGTCTAACGAGATAACACCAACCCAGGAACCAAACCCTGCTACAAACCCCAGTGCCAACTCTGTCCACATATCTATTCAAGGGACACCATCATAGGACCTAACCACATCAGCCACACCATCTGGGGCTCATTCACCTGCACATCTACCAATGTGATATATGCCATCACGTGCCAGCAATGCCCCTCTGCCATGTACATTGGCCAAACCGGACAGCCTCTACGCAAAAGAATAAATGGACACAAATCTGACATCAGGAATCGTAACATTCAAAAACCAGTAGGAGAACACTTCAATCTTTCTGGTCACTCAATAACAGACCTCAAAGTGGCAATTCTTCAACAAAAAACTTTCAAAAACAGACTCCAATGAGAAGCTGCAGAACTGGAATTAATCTGCAAACTAGATACCATCAGATTAGGCCTGAATAAAGACTGGGAGTGGTTGGCTCATTACAAACCTAAACTTAATTTCCCCAGTACTAATCTCATCCTACTGATACTCACACCTTCTTGTCAACTCTCTGTAATGGACCACTCTCTTACCACTTCAAAAGTTATTTTTCCTCCCTTGGTATCCAGCTGTTAATTGATTTATCTTGTTAGACTGACCTAACACTTGGTAAAGCACCCCCATCCTTTCATGTATTTATACCTGCTCCTGTAGTTTTTACTTCATACATCTGATGAAGTGGGGTCTAGCCCACGAAAGCTTATGCCCAAATAAATTTGTTAGTCTCTAAGGTGCCACAAGGACTCCTAGTTTTTTTTGCTGATACAGACTAACACGGCTACCACTGAAACCTGTCACAATGATCTAGGAAGTCCATGAAGGCTTCCACAAATGAGATTTTAAGATTAAAGAATAAAAATTGGTATATACAATAGGGACAATAATATAAACATCTCTTCATAAGAGAATGTGGAAGGGGGAAAAACTAAATCCTACAAGAATTCTTTGAACAAAAGACAGATGAAAAAAGGGGAAGAAAAAAAAAATATAAAAACTTTCAGTAAATGGTGCAGGACTAGAATTATTGTACTTGAGGCCACCTTACAACAGCTATTCAACCATCCTTCTCCTTTGAGAAGTAAAGTATTTCTTTTGTAAATAACACATTAAAATAAGTGAATTGAGAATTTTTTATTCAAAACCTTCTAATCTAGTGTAACTGACTGAACCTGGATTTATTCTTATCCTAAAATCTTACCTAAATCTACGTAGGCATTTATATTACCCCTATCACCATGGCATCTAGCCACCAACGTCCTCTTATAGCTAGCACAAAGTTTGAGAAGTTTCCTAACTGTGATATTTAGAAATCTTTCACAGCCATTCTTGATCAATTATCTCACCTGATGCAGTTTCCAGGATCAGTTTTGCAATCAGTATTGCATCTAAAACGTTCCCAAGGCAGCCATCCCATTGGTGGAGTCCTCAGTAAACCATTATCTAAGGATGAACAGCAGGCAGCCAATGCCAACAGGATGCTCAGAGGAGGCAGCAACATGATTAACAGGACAACTATAAATCAGAAGAATGGATCCAATTAATATTTTCACTTTTAGCACATCTGCTGTTCAAAAACAGTCCTACAATTTGACTTGTTCTTAATTGCTAGTTATCTATGTCTTAGGTATTTCTGGGGCTCCTAGCAACCAGGTATCTGAAGGACACCAAGGCATAGAAAATACAAAGATTTCAAAGGCTGATCATGATTAAACATGGACAAATCTAGATATACCGGGGGACATTTCCAAACCTTTGAACAATGATTTATTTGTCTCTTCAATTATCAATAGAAAATTTGCAGCTAAAACCCATTAGTCATATTGAGAATACATCATGATAAATATAATTGCACACTTCAAGGATCAAACACTTCTTCCAAATATTAATACACTAAACCCTTCAATATTACTTTTGAGTAAACACTATATTGCCATTTGTTTTCCATTAAAATGCATATAAAGCTTGCATGGATAGATTTTTTTCTACAAGCTTCTTAAAAAATGTATATCAGTATACAACATACAGTTTTAATTTTGGCTGGTGGATCTCTTTTTCACCTTACCATTCAGAGACTGACCTGGGGCAATGACCTTACCTTGGGTTGAAGATGCAAAATATGCAACTCCTTTGGGATAAATTATTTTCAGTAACAAATCTGTTTTAATGAAAGTGGCATCAGGCTTAAGAAAGGGATTGGTTAAAATATCTCACACTTCTCACTTGCTCCGAGGTCTTCACTGCTTTTGCTTTCTCCAGTTTAGATGTTGGTAATGAAATCCTACTCCCAGGGTAGGATTGCCATCATCAATGATGCTGGAGCACAAATGGAATCACTGCAAAGACAGAGAGATCGTCACAGACTGGGACTCTGTATGTTACAGAACGTTTGACTTCCTGGGAGGAAACGGTTGATAAAAAGAAAAAAAATGATTTTTCTAGTAACTGCAAGAGTAATTGACATCCTTCTACATCTGTGTGTGTGTTTCTTTTACTCTCTGCCTGGTACTTTCAAAACTACATTGCAGCCTTAATTGGATGAACACTTAAAAACAGATTTTCTTCTCTATTGGGTTATTAAAGGCCCCTACATAACAACACACGTTTCTCCCAATATTCTTGCCCAAATTTTTCCTTAGCCTCTTCTGTTGTGAAGTGTGCTAAATTGATTGATTGAAAGACACAGCGAACCTCAGAGTTACGTGCACCAGAGTTATGAATTAACTGGTCAACCACACACCTCATTTGGAACTGGAAGTACACAATCAGGCAGAAACAGAGACACAATATATAAATAAATAAAGCAAATACGGTACAGTACTGTGTTAAACATAAACTACTAAAAATAAAGGGAAAGTTTTTTTTTTTAAAGATTTGACAAGGTAAAGAAACTGTTTCTGTGCTTATTTCATTTAAATTAAGATGGTTAAAAGCATCATTTTTCTTCTGCATAGTAAAGTTTCAAAGCTGGATTAAGTCACTGTTCAGTTGTAAACTTGCGAAAGAACAACCATAATGTTTTGTTCAGAGTTACGAACATTTCAGAGTTACAAACAACCTCAATTCCTGAGGTATTCGTAACTGAGGTTCTACTGCAGGTGCATTTCGTAAACGTATACACATATAAAACATATATCTTTATCAGCTATACATAGTAAAATGTTATTAATGAGTTACATTGAAGAGCAAGAACTTGTAATAGAAGCGGGCAGATTACAACTATGTATAACATGCAACAATGCAAACTGAAACTTCCTCATTTTGTTTAAAATAAAATTCCTTGCAACAACATTTTTTTTCTTAACTATGACAGTTGTTACTGTTGCCACATGAACTATAATTACACAAGAAGCAATTTAGAGGCATCAAAAGTGAGAGAGAAAACATAATTATCCAAACGTTATAGAAGAGTTAATGATCAAGTATCTCACCTATATCGAAAGCAGGCAGGCGGTCCGATCTGTTCCTGGGGAGATCTTCCTCATTAGAAAAAGAAGACACATGTTATCCCCCTTGTTTTAAATGGAGATTAAAAAAAAATTATTCACAGATCTGTCTTCTATAATTTATTCTTTTGATTTCACTGGATCACTTATCTCAGATTATTGTACTAAATTACATTTAGTGTAACATCTCCCCCGCTCTCTGAAGGTACAATAGAACATTCCAACAGCTTTCCATCTGACATATTTGCTCTCCTAGGAGGAAGCAGAAAAGGAGGAAAAATTCCTTCATCAATCTTGGGGGATTCTACAGTGCCCATCACGATAGTATCTAAGTGCTTCAGCAGTCAAAGATCCAACTGTGCCAGCACCAATGGCTATTGTGCTAGCATGTGTGTTGGCCCAACTGTAACTCTCAAACTGAAACTATTACTAAACACAATCATCTAATTCAAGCCCTCATAGTTGCATTATTTGTCTCTTTTATGGCTGCAATTGTCTTGGCCTAATGGTACCACAGAGAATGAGGGTCTAAGGGCTGAACGCTGACCCACTTCTGGATCCACTAAACACAGGATAACTGTTACCTTCATACGCACCAGGGTACCTCAAGAAGAGAACTTGGTCTATTCAGTATCTTGTTTTCATACTCAGGATCATTCAGTAAGAGTCAGGAATCTGACCAAGTTTCACATTACTGCTATTTCTGCCCATTGTTTCTCTCTCTTGCCCACCCTCTTTTCTGTTTCTCTCCCTCTTCCCTCTCTTTGTGTCTCTTCCTGTCTGCATTTCCCTCTCAAAAAGCTCCCATTTTCCATTCCTTCCTGTAGATTGTATTTCCTTCCCTCTTGCATGTGCTAAAATAATCAGTAATGAAATAATTCTTACATTTAAACTGTTATAAGTAGTTTTAAGCGTCAACACCCAAGGTAGGCAGATCACTCCTTTAAGTCATTGTTTTGAGCTGTCTGCAGATTCAAAGACAGCCTTGTAATGGTTTATGCTTATGTCCTGTCTACACTATGAAATTTTTATTTGCATATCTATATTGATGAAGTTATGCCAGTGCAAGTCTCTAATGTAGACACACTGCACTGGGATCGGGTCAATTTACTGGTGTCAGCCCCAGCTTGTGCTGGTGCAGCATGCCTAAATTAGGGACTTGCAGTGGTATAACTATACTGATGTGAATTTCCTTAATGTAGATGTTACACCAGGGGTCAGCAACGTTCGGCACACGGCTCGCCAGGGTAAGCACCCTAGCGGGCCGGGCCAGTTTTATTTACCTGATGACGCGGCAGGTTCGGCCGATCGCGGCCCTCACTGGCTGCGGTTCGCCGTCCTGGGCCAATGGGGGCGGCGGGAAGTGGCGCGGGCGAGGGATGTGCTGGCCGCGGCTTCTCGCCGCCCCCATTGGCCCGGGACGGCAAACCGCAGCCAGTGAGGGCCGCGATCAGCCGAACCTGCCGCGTCAGCAGGTAAATAAAACTGGCCCGGCCCGCCAGGGTGCTTACCCTGGCGAGCCATGTGCCGAACGTTGCCGACCCCTGTGTTACACTGACAAAACCCCAGCCATCAGCAGGCAGGATTGAACTTGGGACCTCTGGAACTAAATACATAAGCCTCTACTGCATGAGCTAAAAGCCAGACTCATTAATCTGTTTTCCTAAGTGGTCTCAGTGCCACCAGATAGGACAGCACACCACACCCAGGAGGTGTGTGGGTTACATAGACAGGACCTCAGTTTGTATGTACAAGGCATATCTTATTATTTGGGATGAGTTTCAGTTGATATGTTTTATTTGCATTTTGATTTTCATAACAAAATCAGAAATGGGAAGAAAAACAGTAGCCACTGGAATTTGTACATAGTGATGTGCCATCACACAGGAGAATAACCTTTTATAACCCTGACCTCTGGTATATGACTGGGGCTATGAAATTAAAAAAAAAATAGCCTTGCAACAGCACAGTGGGTGTCACTCTCTTATTACTCCCAAGACCAAAGCCAGTAGTATCAAAGAAGCATTGGCCAGAGTGCTCACTGTACTCCACTTATATTTAATTGAATATATCATCACTGCTCAGAGTGTGTGGGAGTGAGGTCAAGGATTAAACATGGACAAATCTACATATACAGGGGGACATTTCCAAACCTTCAAACAATTATTTGTCTCTTCAATTATCAATAGGAAATTTGCAGCTAAAACCCATTAATCACATTGAGAATACATCATGATAACTATAATTGCACACTTCAAGGATCAAACACTTCTTCCAAATATTAATACATTAAATCCTTCAATATTACTTTTGAGTAAACACTATATTGACATTTCTTTTCCATTTGCCCTTCCTTAACATTTGAGGTCAATGAAGGGCAAATGGCATAGTTAAAGGGCAAAAGGCACCTCTATTTTTAGTAGTGGACTGCTATAAGGGAGGGGTAGGACTTTCTAGCAGAATCCTGTATGAAAATAAAATTCATGCTCATTTTAAGCTCCAGAAACCTAGGAGGGAAAAAATTAAGATAGACTGACTCAAAAATAGACTAAAACTGAAATGTATTACTTCCCATCCCAGCTCAGACTAGTTGTCCATCCAGTCAAGCATCCCACTTCCAGCAGTTATTAAAGCAATGCTTCAGGGGATGTGAAACTCACTTGTAGAACAAACAGCCAGTTGTACAATGCCATGGAATCCTTTCTGAGTGCTGCAGGCAATCACTCTATGCCACAAAAGGTGATGTTAGTTGGTCTGATTGCACCAGGAGCATGTGTGTGTGTATAGCTCTCACTGCATTGTAGGTAACAAGTGGGAATCATGCAGGATACTGCTTTCCAAACCCGTGAGTGTGAGGGCTACTCGCTTTGTTTGCAGGATGGAGAGTTATACCTTCCCTTATTTTTAAGCTATTCACATACACCAGTGGGTTACCATGCAGGACCATACGTGAAATGAAGACATTATAGTGAAGGCTGCACATTTCAAGCCCAGCATTGTCACTACCGGTAGTAGGGAGACACCACAGGCACAGTTTGACGTTTGTGCCTGCAGTTGTACCTGTGGTGGTAGACTGGCTGGGCTTATGGGACAGCGCAGTGCCCCCCCCCCCCCGTGACAAAGCATGGCAAATGGCATCAGGCGTGATGCTGTGGGGCGAGACCACCCCAAGACGCGACAAAGGCCCTCTGGCTGATGTCATAATGATGCATGCCGCATGCTGACCACACCAACGTGTCATGGGGGCACGCCCACATTCTGATGGTACCATGGCAGCCAGGTTTATGCCACACCATAAGGCAACCTCCTCCCGCCACTGAGCTGCACCCACGTTGGCAGGACACCGTGGCGTAGAAGACCACCCGAGCCTCTTCAGGCCCCACCCATGGTCACGTGGTTCAATGGCGTGTGGGAGGCAGAGCGAGAACCCGCGACGGGGAAAGAACCCACCACATCCCGCGCACGCGCAGTGCTGTCACTGCCTAGCGAACCCGCCGCCACCCCCCACATCGCAACGACAGTTGGCGGGGTTGGCGACGAGACAGGGCTCGGAGGCGGAAAACAGTACCTATAAGGAGGGTGGCCCAAGCGATACGAGCCAGTACTAATTACCGTGTGGTGTGGACAGTCTGGCACCCCGTGCTTCCGCCGGGTTCCTGAGGGGGTGGTGTGATGGTGAACCTAAGCCAATCGGAGACTCAGAGACTGCCGGCCTCTGCCTATCAGGAGTGGCGTGGCGTGTCTCCGGGGTGGCCGTAGAGGAGCCAATTAGAGGTGGAGATGTTGCCCGCTCCTGTTAAACATTCGCACCCGGTAGGGAGCGATATAGAGACGCATAGTTTGAGTAACCAGCCAATCGAAGGAACGGAGAGGCAACAGGGTACATATAGAGCCAATCGGAAGCAAAGAATCTGTTGGCTTCAGCCAATCAGAGGAGCCGGACCTGTCCTAGGAATTGTGGAGCCGATGGGAAAAGCAGAAATGTGCCCACACCCGCCAATCGGGCGGGGCTGCTGTGCTTGAGGCGGCTGATTGTGGCGCTGGCCTCCCAGCGGCAGAGGGCGCAAATACAAGGTGGCCGGGTTTCTTCAGCGCAGCTGCCGAGGCAGGAGTGGAGACGGCGCTGTTGTTGTCGTGCTGAGAGCTCGCCGCCGCCGGACCTAGCGAGCAGGTAGGCGAGGGGGTCACCGAACGGGGGAGCTGGCGGCTAGGTCCCCCATCCCCGTGGGGCAGGCTGTCCGTTGCTCCTCACCGCCCCCGGCGGGGGTGGGGGTGCTCTCGGCCCACTTCCCCCGCCACTGCCCCGTTAGGGAGGCTGCTGTGTCGAGGTTTGGTTTATTCCCCCCGGCAGCCAGGTTACCCTGGTGCCTTCCTCCTCCTCAGCTCGTATTAATCTTGTGCTTGGCTTGGTGAAGACCCTCGCGGGTGGTTGTGCGGGGGGCTCCTGATGGCCCCCTCGCTCGGTGACAGGCGGGGGCGGGGAGGTGTGAACACACGACAGGCAATGCTAAGTGCCCGTTGCGAAGTACGGGCCGGGACTCTTTGGGGGTGATCCCTCTGTGGTGTGAACGGAGCGTGTGTGGAACCTCTTCCAACCGCTGACAATCATTGCTGAGGCTGGAGGGCCCCGGTGAGAGTGGGGAGTGGGGAGGGAGGTGCTGGGGGACAGGCCGCCGCAGCCTGTCAACTCTTTCAGCCTAACTGTGACTTGACAGAACTTCAAAAGCCCCATCCACTCAGTCTGGTCAGTTTTAAACAATGATTTTCAGTAAGGGCAGGTGTTACAGCCGCTCCCGACTATGGCAGCTATTTTTTGTGGTTTTACAACTGCATTTTCCTATGGCTTTTAAAATGGCAGTTTACTGCCCCTGTTGCTGTGTGATGAGAGTGAGAGAAGAAAAAATAATTGGCAAAGGAGGGAAGGTGACTATAAGAAACTCATTATTCAGAGACTGATTGTACACAAAGTGGTGTCAAATATACCAAGTAGTATTAAAACAGTATTTTAACCGATTTTCAGGTTCACCCTAAAGAGTAGTAATGAACAGTCACTAGTGTTACACAGTCACAGTTTGTGGTGTGAGTTACCTTTTCCTTTTGTATATATTATTTATTTCCTGTATGTTAAGAATGAATTTGTTTATAATTGGTATGAATTAATTTCTACAAAGTTAAGAAAAACACCTTAATATATGCAAAGTGCTATCACGTTCACAAATTGAGCAGTCAGGAGAAATATAGAGAAATACTTAATCCTCCAGTTATAGTAAATGTTACTTGGAAAGTAGTAGACAAAAAACAAAACAGAAGTGATTTTAAAGTTGATGGTGTCTCTATAAAGACACATTGTCAGTTGTAGGCATCAGATTTAATTAACTATCGTTATCTTGGTGAAACTTCTGTCAATATAGTTTTCTTTATTAATACTTTTTCTGTCTAAACAAATATTTTAAGCATCTTTCTTTATTAAAAACAAACCTCAAGCACCACCCCTCTAAAACAGCCTGAACTTCATGGGAGTGAGAAGTAACTTTGCAGTGCTGATATCTTCTGTTCTAAGTTTTCAAGGGGGTTTTAAAAATGACAGGGGAAGTGTGACAGCATAAAGGAAAACAAAACATGATTAGTGTCTTGCCTTGTCATAAGTGGGAAGAATCTAAACATGCTGTAACAAAACACTGCTGATAAATAAGTGTATTATTCAGCAGTTGACATTTAGCTTATTTTCTGTTTCACTTACTATATTTATATGTTTTCTCATAAACACAGTTTAATTTAGTTTCAGTTTAACTACGAACTATTGCAAATAACTGCAATATCCCAACTCCCCTACTTTAAGAGGAATTTTATTAAACAACTCGTCATGGCACAGGACAGTTCACTAATGGTTTCTTACTACTAACCATAAGTAATTATCTTAAACTTAATCATTGTGTTTAAAACTAGTAAATACAGATTGTATTTTAAATAATGCCATGTGAATTTTTTTTTTCTGCATGGAATGCAGTTTTGATGGGACTGGGAACAGTCGAGACATCCCTGGGTATATGTGGATGAGATCTCAACCTGGAGCAACGAGGACAGTGTTCCATGTGCTCTCCCTGCTTACCTCTTCACCTCCCATTTGCTGTCAGTGCTTGTGGGGGGGTGGTTCTCCCCCCCCCCCCCGTGCTGCAAGTCGTGGGAAGGGTATCGTGTACTGAATCTGGGCAGTGGGCCTGGCCTGCCCCTCGCTGATGCTGCTGTTGGTGATGGGGCCTGGTAACGAGGCCAAGTGATTGGCTTCTGCCTACAGCAACTGGATGGGGAGAGAGATTGCTACTCTCTGCTGCCTAGGTGAGTAGGCATTTTGGGATCCCAATTTCAGCCCCACTCTGAATTGAGTTGCTTGATCTCTTTTGATGCCAGGGGCTAGGCTGATGGCCAGTTCTGGGATCTAGAAGGGGCTTTTTCTGATATTGCAAAACTGGCAAACTGCCAGCTGGAGGTGGTTTGAGGCGTTTAAATTACAACTGCCACAACTTTGGCAGGTTCCAATGTAATTAGTGGGTTAGAAAGTGCCCACTTGAGGCCCCTTTAACTCAGTGGTTCTGGACACAGCAATGCATTGTAAGGGGATCTGCCTCCATATCTTTTGCAGCTTGTGGCACCATTCATCTTATCACTTCTACCTCTGGCATAGCATAGAGGAGGATAGTGCGTTGGGGCTCAGGCTTTAAATCAGGGTCCCATGGCTGGCCTGAGGACGTGGAGGGGGCATGGCCTTGACACCCACTTTAAGGTTTATGACACCCAGGGCCATTGGTGCCAGTGGAGAATGGCACTAGAACAATCCTGCAAGGTAGTTTACAGTTTACCCCGAAATCTAGAAAAGCACATGCTATTCATTATGGTAAGTGTGTGTTCTGAGTTTCAGCTTTCTAGTGTCAGCTGTTTTCACTAGTGGTGCATGGAGGAGAGAGTAGGAGAGAGAGAGATCATAATAACTGTTTTCACAAAGGGGGAAGGGTAGTGTGTGTAACTGATATGACTGGTTGGAATTTTGTCAAAAATAAGACACCCCCCCCCCAAACCAAAACAAACCCCCAACCAAAACAAAACCCCCCGCAGTTCTTGGGGTAGACACCAACTATAGAAAGTGTTCAACCTAGAAGATGAACGTTTAAGAATTATAATCACACTTTGTACTTGCTTATAATAGAAAAATTTTTAACCTTTGCAGAAGCAGTCACTAGAGCTCTAATAATCTGAATGAAAACTGTGTCTTTTTAACAATTTTGTTATTCTTCATCATTGAAACTGAACTACAGGGCAGTCAATTTGAAAATAATATCTACAAAATTGTTTCCTAAAATCCACTCCAAAATGAAGAATTTTTAAGTAACGTTCTTATCTTACCAGGTCATGATGTGAAGTTATTTTAGTAAATAATTTATCTTTGTTAGCTACTGCACATGTTAAGCATAGGGCATGCCATATTATATGAAGTCTTTTTTACAGTTCTTTGCTCACCTATGTCAAGATATATATATATATATATATATCCCACAGTGCTCTGCAAAGCTAAGCGTAGCTTTTGGCATTAGCGAATATAAAGCCTGTCAAAGGCAAGATACATTTGTTCTGTGTCCTAGTACAGGTACCTTCACAGTTTAAAATATAGTATCCAAAACAGAGATAAGGAGAGGTACAGAACAACAAGTTAAGGAACTGATACAAACTGGTGGGTAGGATCTTAGGTGACATAGAAAATGCTTTATAACTTGTAAGCAATTGTGCTATAAATATAAGTGGTTGGGGGCATAATTCAAAGCATCCCCACTGTGGAACAGCACTGCAGGAAATGGCTTCCCAGAAGGATTGGTATCTTGTTAACTCTTTCCTTTCCATATTGTACTGCTTTTTTGGGGGCTATGTTTGGTTAGTTGATCTCTTAAGCATTCTTAATAACAAACCATATGTGTAGTCAACTGGCTACACTTTCAGACAATATTTTGCAGCATTCTGTTGGGGTCTTTGACAGTTTTACCCTTTTCAAACAATCAAAAATTGAGAGGAAGTTAATAAAGATGATAGTCTTATTGTTAGCAACTGTTTTCTATTAATTGAGGTTTTCATTAGCTTGACTTAAAATGACTTTTTTAATGCTACAGTCTGAGGTTGCATACATAGGTCTTAAAGTTTATGATATGCTAATTCTTGAAACTGGTCAGACCTGCTGAATTGTGGCTATGCCCCTAAATACAGTTTTTTGCAACTCTAGTGTCTAACCTTTCCATTTTATAATTAATGTATCTGGCTAACAGTTTTCTTGCTTCAAAGAGTCTTTGTGCTCACCTAATTTGTGACCTTGGGCAAGTCACTTAACTTCTGTATCAAAGTTTCAGTTTCCCCATTTTGCAAAGGGGGATAATGATACTTGCTTTCCTTTGTAAAGTGCTCCAGGATCTCTGGATGAGAAGTGCTGTATAGAAAATGTGTGGTGCTGGTTATTGGTTTTGAGTTTTAGCAGTTGAGCAAAGTGATCTACTTTCACTGACATCCGTAATATGAATATCAGAGGTGGCTGCATATTTGGTGATAATGCAGTTCTGTACGTTTCATGTGGATGGCGTGTACCTTATTCTCATGATGAATTTCTTTCCTAGATCTTCATGACAGTTTTGTTATTGTTGAGTCCAAATTTCTTGTACCTAAAGAAAAATCTCTGGCACATTCTGGATGTTAGAGCAAGCCTTTAAAATGTTCATTGAGTGCATCAGATATTGTCGAAATAGAAGAGGCTCCTG